TACCATGATTTCTGATGTTGCACACATATTTAAACAACTTTAAGAGGTGGATTGTCCTTGATTTTTTTTCAAGGGGTGATGAATTTGGCCTACAGGCTGTGATTTTCATCTAAAGTTTGTACATCGCATACCCGTATATAACTAATACAAGTGAGCTACCGAGGATTTCCATGTGTAGTAATATTATGTGTATCTAAAATAAATGTACCGTGACCACATTTTACCATATAAGAACTTACTAGTACACGGAAATAAACAATCTATTCTGCGAATATCAACAATTGTTAAATACGTTTATTAAGCTGTATTGATTAGCTTCATTTTAGGTTAATTAAACAAGTCGGTGCTAATGACAGATTGTCACTGTACACGAATACTTCGTGTCATGCTGGTTTTGTTTAGAATTCGAATCACACGTCCGATTGATCTACGAATTGAACAGTCATTATTAATTGGGCAGCCAGTGTCTATGCTGTGTTGTTTATTGACGCATATTAGTCCGTCACACGTTGTTCATTTCTATTATGTTCGGTGGTTTTCTGTCTACCATAATCAAGACGTGTCACTCCAAAACGCGCCTTTTGTTTTTTGTGTTGTAATTGAATGTAGTACCAGTGAAATGAAACTTCATATTGTTTTACCACGTTTTAATTGAACTTGACTTTTATTGTCCCATTGTGCTTACGATTTATTCTGTCAAAGTCAAAAATAAAAAGTATTAAGTCTTATTAAATGTTCTTTCTTTGTCGTAATCTTAAGTACTTAAAGTCACAATGGCCGCGATTAGGTTAATATACGATTAACGTCGCACCACGACCTTAAAGTGCCTGTAAAATTTCTGCTATTTTCTAGTCTAGAATCATTTATTGGTATCATTAAGTTAAAAATATTTTTTTAAAGTAAAAACATGGGTTTCAAACTTAATCCACGCCAATTTTACTTTGATGTATTTAAAAACGACGGATCAAACTGAAAACAACGGGTGACGTGACCCAGAAGAGCGTGTACCAGAAGTTGTTCACAACAGGCGTATTCGCTGATTGTTGTACAGTGGCCTCTCGCTAAGTCGCGGGTGTCGGGATACAAGCAAAAACCGCGACTTGTCGAGGGTCGCGACTTACCGAGGGCCTCATTTTTTTATATCATTCATTAAAAATATTTTTTCAGAGTAAAAACATGGGTTTCAAACTTAATCTACGCCAATTTTACTTTGATGTATTTTAAAACGATGCTCCCCATTAGCTGAGCCCTGGTGACGTATTTAGGGGTACTTGCTGGTCAGCGTGCATTTGCCGGTAATGTATATACATATATATATCGAGCGCCGGTTCGAATCACGCACGCAGTACGTGTTTACTATTATTTGACGTAGTATTTACCTTGCCGTTTATTCGGTGTTATTTGCTTACTTTACCTTCTATGTCAACAGCAACTATGAGTTTAAAATTATTTCTCAGTACTTATTCACTGTTATAATGCTGTACCATTACTTTCACCATCCTACTACAGCCAGATCTGAAGGCCTTTGCCGCATTCTGGCCACGCTGTGTGGCGCGGATCGCGTGGACGGGTTGCATGTTCTCTGCACGTAATAACTCGGTTATTAAGCATCCTTTATTGGGGATGCCCGGTGGCCGAGGGAAAGACGTGTAGTGGCGTGAAGCTAGGTGATTTGGTGCCGTACGCGAGCGCCGGTTCAAGTCACGCACGCAGTACGTGTTTACTATAATTTGACGTTGTATTAACTTGCCGTTTATTCGGTGTTATTTGATCACTATATCGAGGATTGGTGGGCGTGGCAAAAAACGAAAAATTTACTCGGACGCAAAAAATCATTTAAAAAAAACAAACAATGACTACTATTTCAGAAGAACACAAATTCAAAATAGGATTAGGAAATGTGTTGGTGGGCATTTCACAGACACTATTTAAATGGACGATCAAAAACAACGGGTGACTTGACCCAGAAGAGCGTGTACCAGAAGCTGTTCACAACAGATGTATTCGCTTATTGCTGTCTGTGTCAGCTCGAAAAGTAAACCCGACAAAATAATATATGTATGTAGACATAGACCCTAGGGTCTACGATGCAGACTTGCGTTATCTGGTCATTGACCTTCGATTCATTCTTTTCTGTTTACAATGTCGGTGAGGGCGCTGTTTACGTTTCATAAAAACTACAGGTATTAGTTTTACTTGAAGATCGTTGTACCATGAAACGAATGCTGATGGTTTCAGGCAGATTGATAGGTGATTTTCCGTTGCGTGATCTCGCGTATTACGTGAATGATTTGATTTTGAGTTTTTTTGTTATAGCTCAATATCGCAATGCCGATCTTTGAGAGAGGATTATGTAATAATGGCATTGATATTTCCTTACTTTATGAAAATTTACCATCATTAAATGCAGATAGCACATTAATAAGCAAGGAAATACCCCAAAATTCTTTCGTGTTTGTCAAATCAAATGATTTTTTTTAAACAATGTTAAAAAGGAAAATAAGATAAATACATGGCATTTTGAATAACAAAAATCGATAACTCATTATTTTTTGGAAATACTAATTTAACCTGCATATACATAAATTGAATTAAAATCAATCAACAAATTATTATTGGTATCGACAATTATTTTTTTATTTTATTCCGGTTGTCCAGACAACTATCATAACATGCTTAATCCCTGACCATATTTACACTTAATAACAATTATGTATTTTGAACTGTCAATCACTCACGGTAAAACCATCTTTCACTCGTAAAACTTAATTCTTTATGTTCAGGAGAAACCCTTTCAAAACAGAAACCAAAATAAAATCAGAAAAATGAATTGATGCCCAACAAAATTACTGTGCATAAAAAAAGTATTTTGGTGCATTGAGGTTATGCCCCCCCCAAACTTGTGCTTCTAGCTAGCTTTGTACAAAACTCAATCTCTAGCACATTGTAGAATCTGTTTCACTTTTTTATTCTCCTATCTGTATCAGACATGTATCCTTCATCTACGGTGGCTTGTTAGGGCCATTCACTGTTTTTCGAAGTTCTCACATTTTCACCTGTATTTTTCGGCTTCATTTCAAGGTGTACATATTTACACTGTGGAGCAAATTATTCTCATCGTGGTTTAAATATTTCCATCGAGGTGCAAATATTTACAACGCGGAGAAAATTATTCTCACCGCGGCTTAAATATTTTCACTGAGGTGTAAATTGAAATTGTCGGAAATTCAAAATCAAGCTGAAAAATACAGGTGAAAATATGAGAAATTCGAAAAACCAGCCACCGTATTCATCAGCTATAAATTTTTTAGCCTGATAATTTATCAAATTCTGAATCAATAGAAACTGTATGTACTGTAGAAACTGTATCAATAGAAACTGTAAAGTGTCAAATTTAACGATAACAAATTTCTTCATGATTTGATGAATAAGTTTTCACAAATACAATATTTCTCTGCTTCAGACTTGAGGACCCTTCTATTCACTGCTAATAATATTCTCTGCTTTTTTTAATGCCTTATTAATGTTAAATTTGTTATAGTTTCTTTTACAGAGGTATTCAGTATACAAGGCCATTGAAGCAGGTGAGTCAACTTTTGTTTTAAGGTTGTCATTTGCGAGAACCTTACAGTAAAGTCATGTGATTTGTTTGTGCAAATACAAAAAAAAAAAACATGAGATGGCAGGTATGAGCGTCTCTGGTGAAGAGGACTTTTTTTTTTAGTCCTACCTAAGGTAATGGTCTTTTATTCAAGGAAATCTTGCAAAATCAGATCAGACAGATTTAATTTAGTGTTTGGTATGAACAGATTTTAATGTTAAATTTCTGTAAAATCTCCCAAATACACCGGGATTGTGTATTTATTTCTATTAAGTATACAATTTCCAGCATTCGTTTGATATTTGATTTAGTTTAAACAGGTTTCAATGTATGATATCAGTAATTTCTGTCATCATTTCATAAACTGTTTACATGTACTTATCAAAAGAGCAAGACATCTTTGTGTACATTTTCAATATGGCTTTTTTTTTACTGAAATATTGTGAGGTTCTTGGAAACGTGACATTTTTTTTTAAATGTAATTTTTCTGGCGACAACATGTTTCATGCTTCAACTGTATACACACTTAATTTTCCGACTTAACACTTAGATTTCACCGTTGAAAGCTCAACAAAAAAACAGAATAAGGGGCACAAACATGAATTAAATTTTACAAATTTTATTTTAATATATTTTTATTATAATTAATTTTTATTAATTATTATTACGATTATTTATATTTATTATTCATTTTAATATTTGCCTTTTTTAAAAAAAACAATTCTTGCAGCAAAATAATCGTAATGTCAAAAATAATTAAAATAAACTAAAAAAAAACAAAATAAGCCAACCAAGATCTTATTTTAATCATATTGTAAACTACCCAACTGACAATAAAAGCATGTAATTTGAAGGGAAAAAACCCCATCATTTATGTAAATAAACTATCAGACCGGGCCCACAGATACAATTGAATATTTCTGACAAACCTGGTTTAATTATTACTGAAATAAACTAAGTAGTAATTGTTATATTAACCAAAATTATTGTTCACTGAAAACCATAAAATGATATAAAAGAATCGTCTTTCACTCATAGTCTCTCATGTAATACAAATATTTTCGCTGAATTTGTCAGTCAGTGAGGGGTGAACTAATAACTGATACTGTGGAATATTTTATTTTCACTGGAATTAATTTTCGCTGAAAATTTGTGTATGGAATTTATTTTCACTGATTTTTGATGAGTTTAATGTGAAATATTGAAAAAAAAGTATATTCGCTAGATTTTCTTTTCACGGAATCATTCCTTCAGCAAAAATAAATTCCAAGCAAAAATAAAGTATTCTACAGTATATGCCTGAAAGCCTGTTCTATCTCACAGGTGCAACAGATGGCTACATAGCGCCCTCTATTATTGTGGACTTTTGTTTTTATACCAATTGACACTTATATATTCATATACTGTAACGTCATTTATTATACACCTAATTTCGCTATTTTGAATTTAATCTGCGTGAACATGTTTTGTTTAATTACATACAAGATTCGTTTGTGGTCAACCTATAAGCAGAAATGTACAAGAAAATAATCACCCTCCTAATTGAATACACACATCTTTCTACAGAGAGTACATTTTTGACATTTTTTTTTTAGTTTATTCAAGTTGTGGGGGTATTGTGTTTGTGAGGGGAAATAGTTCATGCTTGAGTTGAGAATTAGCGTAGACTCCGGTTTCGTCCTGCCACGTATTGCGGCCGTATCTCCTATAATCTGCAGTATCTGAAAACTGACTGTGGCATTTTTTGTAGCAATTAGTTCTGGCTTTGTACATGGCAATCTCTTCCTCGGTCGGCTCCGCATTGATTTTCTCCTGCAATGTGAAATGAAACAATAATTTAAAACAAATTCTCCACTTTAACTTTTTAAATGCCAAAGTCAACTTTTCACAAAATAAACATCTATAGTGTTTTCAAAATGTTTTCAACAACTTATAAATAGTAGAAAATAATCAAATTTGGGCATTGTTCCAGATCATCTATGTACTAACTTTCATAAAAATCCAATAAGTGGTTCTTTAGATATCAGTGGAACAGCCAAGGAACAACTAAAAATTAGCTAATTATCATGCAAATTAGGTAATTAATATGCATGGATGTTTACCGAAAACACAATCAAATCTGCACATTAGCTCACATCATCGATGCATCAAGTTTCATCAAAAACAAATATACATGTATGGTTCCTGAGATATCAGTAGAACAGACGGACACACACACATGCAGAGACACTAACGTATAGACTAAAGTACATGTATAAAAAAACAAATGAACAACGGTGTACAGTTAAATTATTTCTAATTCCTGCTTCTACTACTATATATAAATGAGCCATAATTTCCACATTCTGTCACTTGAGGGCTCACTCACACATGACTGCCAATGTAACATGAATAGACCTAATTATACAGGTGATTATACTTAATAAAAACAGTTTGAGCTATATCGTGCACAAACTGATGGTGACTACACAAAAAAATGTTAGGATACTATGACAACAGATAGAAGAGGATCAATTAGATTAAGCTTCTCACCACCAGTTCCCACTTTTTATCACAAATTCACAAAATATAGTCTCCATTTTCCTTCAGAAGATAGAGACACAAAACAATGAAAATTTACCAAAATGTTGCCTATTGGCTCCAAAATTTGGGTTCCTTTCCTGAAATATTGGAAAGTATATAAGAAAAAGGTGCAGACAAATTTGTGCATGGTGAAAAGGGTAAGGCCAGTTTATAGTAAACCCTTTTCATTACAGAACAGTTTTAAACCACAGTCTATGACTGAACAAGCACATCTCAAATTGCCTAAAAGTAATTACATACAATCCTCAGGGGTGGACGTTCCATGTTGTTAAGACGTGCATCACTGTACATGCATTTCTATGGGCTCTGTGCGCGCTGCTGTGGAATGCCGGTCGAGCCAGTGAAAAATCGGGAAAACAACACAAACTCAACTTTGAAGTAATCCCGAACAACCAAACTTATATATGTTACACACGCAGGGCTAATCTTGTTACACTGTTCAGGGGAGTCTCAATAACCATTCCAAGGTACTGTTTTCTGCAAGTTTTTGGCCTTTGTTTTCACTGCGATGGTTGCCAGGCTGTGAAAATGCCCGGATGTCCGCCCCGAGGATTGTATCAACAAATAAATTGAGCACCACCTAGTGGCAGGTCTTACCTCCATAGGTGTATATGGAAATGGTGGTTTATAGTCCACTCGGTGAGTGGTTTCTAGGTGCCTCTTGTCGTGATCTGGATGATGTTCTGGCAACACTGCTCCTGGATTTCCAACCCTATTTCTGATGAATTGAATGAAGAAATACAGAATAAATATACAGCACAGGTAACAATAACAGGGCAATGAAATTCATGGTATGTTTAAATGAAAATAGTTTTATTAATAGCGTATGCACTTAAAGTAGAAGCTCACCCCCGGTACTCATGATTTCAAATAACCTGAATTTAGTAATTTTCTAATTAATTGCGCTTCTAGACAATAGAAGCTTAATTTTTGAGAAAATGATGGTTGTATTTTAGTAGATAGTGGTCATTTTGGCGGTAATGCCTTTACTATATGTTCCTATGGCAGAGATAAAATGCCATATCTCAAATTGTAGGCTGGTGACAAAGATAACAAAATCATATATTGTGAATGATGGGGTATTTTTTGTTTTTGTTTTTCCAATTGTTCTAAAAATATTGATTTTTGAAAAATATTAGGACATGTTTCTCCACTGTAATGTACGTCATACAACATAAAATACCGATAGACGCAAGGACTATAGAACATTGAAACTACCTGTCAATATTAGCATTGCCAACTGTCTCAGCATTTACCATTGGTTTCCTAGTTTCCTGTTCTTCAAAATCTTTCTTTAAAAAAATTTGTTCCGTCGAGTCTTGATACGTTGTTTTCGGGTAGGACTGCAAAACAAAATGAACATTACATGTATATGGCATATATATATATATATATATATTATGTTTTTTTAATCTGTGGCTTTATTGTTTGGAACAGAAATTTGCTGAAACTTTGTTATTCTGAATAATCAGCTGTTTTGAATTCAAATGAAAAAAAATATACATTTTATCTATTTAGTATTTATAAAATTGATGTCTATCAATTCATATTTTATTGTATAATTTAGATGATAATTATCAATAGTTTGAACACATGGCAATTTTTGTTTCAAACGAAATGGCAATCAGAAACTTAAATTTAGTCCCTAAGAACATATTAAACAAGCAGCCTATCGGCTGAGATAGCTCCGCTGTTAGCAATGCACATTTCAATTAAAGAACTGAAGACATCATTAGAAAATGAACAATATGAATAGTATCAAAGCAATCGGACTTACAGTTTTTAACAAGAAGTCGAAAA